GACGGTGACGTTCGAAATCCGGCGGGTTGTTCGTGATCCGATTGTACAATAATTACCAACCGTTGTTCGTAAATGTATATGTAAATGTGTATAAACTCGATTTGTGTATTGCAAGTAAAGGAGAGAGAGAGTTGAGTAAAGTGTAGTTCTTTGTATTGATTCTTGCATTAGCCTTTTGATATTACACAAGGGAAGTATTTATAGTGATACATGTGAAATGAGAACCCTTGGATGAGGTGGGACGTGGCCTCATCTATTCGATTCAAACATTTTATCATAGGCATGGGGCTTGACTTGCTAGCTTGCTGCGCATTTATTGCTTGTGCAGAGCCTCCATACTAGTGACAAGACTTGACCTTTATGCTTATGACACACGTTCCATCAATCATTCGAATAAGATCCTTGTGTAGGCGATCTCTTCGAAGAAGTGACCATGGAGGATGCTCCCTTGTGGTTTGGAGGCTCCTACATCAGCTTCGGGGCTTGGCCATTTCATATAATACTTCCCTTGAGGGCTTGAGCTAACTTCAACCAGCTCCAGCATCATGGCTTTGGCTCATAGGCCTCAGCATGTGGACCTCGATTACATTCACAAGCCTCGGTAAAAGGCGCCTCGGCTAGTGGATTTCGGCTTGAAGGGCTTTGGCCATAGCCCAACCTCGGCTAGAGTGCCATGTGGTTCGGCCTGATTGGGCCATGGCCCAGGTAGGTTGGCCAAGTATGACAATACACAACAGATACTACAAAATACAGAGAGAAAACTGAAAGGAGACTAAACAAAATTCTTGAACTGAATCGAGCGGTTCTTCTTAAGTTAAATACTCGAATGGTTATTTGAATTGAGAACCGACGGGTTCGATTCGGTTCGATTCTCGGTTCTAGATCAAGAATTGAAGGATCGAATAAAAACTGAATCTCCCTAATTTTTTTAATTAATTTATTTTAAATAAGCGAAATTATTTTATTTTTTCTGAATAAATTTGCTAACTAGTTAATTTAGTTTAAACTCAAAAATATGATTTTTCATATTTCTAATTTTCAGTTCAAAATCAACTTAATCAAATTGATCTAAATTTTATCTAAATCTATTACTCTACCGTTTTTACCGTTCTGGAGAAATCGAATTGAAGTTCGACAGCGCCTCTCAATTATTGTGAGCTCTCTGTCACGGACTTGCTAATTTCCTTCAAGAACCGTGCGGCCTTAGTGTCTTCAACTTCCGCCCCCGCGGTTATTACACTAAGTCAGCCTCCCGATTGGCGTTGATGTTTTAGAAATGCACTAAGTAGAACACTTTAAGAAAGGGACAAAGAAGGAACACAAGAGCTTACAAAGAAGGCTTTGTATTGAATAAGAAATACTCTTTACAACTTCACTCCCTTGATCCCTTCAAATGAATCCTACCAAGCTATTTATAGTGGTAGCCTCCTCAAATGGATGGCTAGGATCTTTTCTATCCAACGGTCTAAATTACACCTCTAGAATTATCTATACAAATATCTACATCAAAATATCTATGGACTAAACTAGGATGATCTAGATTAATCCACCAATTGAGGGGCTTGTAGTTTCTAGAATGTCCCACCATATTCTAGCAATCTTCATGCACTTGTAGGAGTCTAGAATATTCCGGTTAGCCCCAACTCGTCAACATTTTAAATTTCTCGATCTTCCTGTGCCAAGATCGAGCGAGTCGTGACATCTCGCTATCTTCATCTTCTTGTGACTTTAACAATCAAATTATGAAGAATTCAGCAAAGAGAGACGCAAAAGACACAAAAGATTGGACTACATTATTTTGTAAGAGTAAATATTGAACATATCATTAGTTGAATTGACGTAGTTTTGTAAATATTAAAAGATTTAATTATAATATGAAACCTGGGAACCGAATGGAATCGAATCCGAACGATTCCATAAGGTTTTGTTTGTCTACCATTCTATCACATTATTTTTTCTACAATACTCATTTTCAACCACAAATTCTTCATTAAAATAATATTATGTGTAAATCAAAAACATTTTTTTTTATCCACACATTTCAATATCAATCATTATTCCATAATACATTATTCACAAATAATGAGGCACAAACACCCCCTAATTAAATTTGAACCCAATGGTTTCATTTACTAAATATCCAAAATTTTCGGGTCCGATTCCGTTCTCGTTAGAACCGAACCAAATCGTATCATGTCCAGCCCTATGAATAATAATGAAAATAAAGGAAAATTAAGGTTTAAATAGTCAAATAAAATGACTAATCTACCCTTAAATAAAACAAATATATTTAAAATTCACAATCTATTGACATACGCTCATGCCACATTTAAGAATTAGGTAAAAAAAACTAATTCACTCGTGAAGAAGTGACGTCACATGGTTTGCTAAAAAAATAAAATAAATAAATAATAAACTCAGCCGACCATTACGATAGTATATTAGCGTGTGTGCATATTATTATAGAGAAAGTATCGTGTGACACACAGCAAATCTCTCTGGCATTTGCTTATAATTATTAATTTGTTTGCTCTTGCATGAAACTTTGACTAATTACGGAAAATGAGTAGGAAATAGCTAGCTTTAAATCATTTAAGTCCCCGTTTGGTAACAATTTTTAACCCCAAAAAATCAATTTTTTAATCGTTGTTTCACTATTTCAGCCGTCATTTTTTACTTTTTTTTCTTATAGATGGAACCTACTTTCTCTCTAACGATAAAAAAATCAATTCTCATAATTACTATCGGACATGTCCTAAGCCCTTATTTGAGTATCATTTCCAGAAAACTCTTTTTTTTTTTTTTTTTTTATTTCATTTCAATCACATATTATTTCAATAAAATAATTTACACGTATTTTAAAAAAATTTCCTACTTTTTTATCATACATTCTCAAAAAAATAAAAATAAAAATAAATTCACTTCTACAAAACATATTTTCCAGAAAAAATGAGGCTAAAATAATAATAATAATAATATAAAAAAAAAAGTATTCATCGTGACATTAGATGCAAAGGGGGCATACTATTGAAATCTTCTTTAAATTTAAGAACATTTTCTAATGTAGACAGAAAACATGTGTATGCCCCTTCGATATTTTTCGGCCTCCATTGTAAAAGTTTTGATTTCGCCACTAATTAAGTTGAAATAGGGTCGGGATATAAAGTTATTGAAACGTCAATTAAGCCTTATACTATTTGACAATTGACATGAGATGCGACAAGCCAACATCTTAGGCTACCAATCCACTTCGGCAGTTTTTACCAAGATAATAGAATATTACTATATGTACACTTTAATTTACACTTTATCAACTGTCATTATCCTATTAGATAATTTAAATTTCAAACAATTTTTCATTCAATTAACACTTGACAACAATATAAGTGTAAACGAGAGTGTCAAAAATCAGTGTACAAATAGCAAAGTTCAAGATGATATTGGTAGACATTTCTGCCGTAACAGAGTTTGGGAAGATTTAGTTTCTTTTATATAATTGATTAAATAATTTTAACCTTGCAAAGATTTTGTCAGAATTATGAAAATTTTCATCTCATCGTTTTTGGTCCAATGGTAAACAAGTTGGACGTGTCACGTGCGACATGGAAAACTCGCACCTCTTACCCTACAGTTGTTTAAGGAAAAAAAATCGAATGACGAATTTCTTAAATAGACTACAAAGCCGTAAACAAAGCCAATTTACACACTTGGAAAAAAAAGCATCCCATTTCCTTCCACGTGAAGTTGAAAAATTATAGAGAAAAGAAGTGTAAGCACAGCTTTTTCGGTTGTTTATATATTAATATATTTTTGGGAAATACTAGGTGTACATAATTTTTTTTTTAATCCTTTACCTATCACTCACAATAAGGAGTGGGAACCATATTTGAAAATTTTTATATTCACGCAAGATCCACGTGCATTGTGGGAAGGATGATAACTTTCGATACATTCTATTCGGTACAAATAAAATTATTCTATATATTTTAACACATTTTGACAAGCAAATCGTAGTGGCGCAGGGGAAGCGCGGTGGGCTCATAACCCACAAGTCCAGGCACAGAGATAGCTTCCCAATTGCAACTTCTTTTACTAAATTCCTTTATCTTCTATACTACGTCATGCCGTCACAGGCCAAAGTTTTCCCTAAAATTGCCAAAAAAATGTAATTAACACAAGGAATATCTATTAGTATAGGGAAATGCTACTGTGACATAGCCTTGACAGGTTAGGGGACGCCAAATAGGCACCCTGTCACAGCGACCTATCAAGGTTCCCTATTCATTTAGCATTTCCCGTTAGTATATTAAGCCCCGTTTGACAATCATTATCTAATAACAATTTTTCTACTTAACTCCTTTTTCAACCATGTATCTAATTCAACTTACCAAACGTTCATTGTGCCCCTGTTTGATTTAGTTTTAGGGGGGAAAGAAAATCAAATTTTTAGTATATTTGATAAAATTTTATAAAATGTTTGATTAGAAAATTGATAAAAGTCGAAAATCCGTGGTCAAAATGTGGAAAAAAAATGAATTTTAAAAAAAATGAAGATCAAATGGGGGGCTAGTTTTTCTTTTTTCCTATGTTTTGTTCTGCAATATTCAAGGACCCTTTGTCTTGTTGACTATGCTACATTGCACACACACTACTGAGGTAGAACTCGATAATTAAAACAGGTTAGAACCAAATTAGACCTTTAGGGAGAGCACTCATTTGCACCCTTTATTCCCTCTAAGCCAAAACTTAGTTCCCAGAAATTTCTCATCTATCCAAGTCAAAACAAAATCGGATAACTGAGAGCAAAGAATATAGGTACCATAAAGAACACTGTTCAGTCTTTCATCGTCATCCGACTGGCTCATCACTCTTTGAGTAGAATATTCAGTACAATTACATCCTCGGTAACTGCTATCGGTCACAATAATTTACGACATGCATAACTTACATAACGGGCTTTTCTAGGTCTATCCAAGACATGCCTCGACAAGAATAGACGATGAAGAAAAAAGTAAGAGAAAATTTTCATCCACTTCAAAAATACAATGCCAGAATCCAATAAACTGTGCAAGTAAATAGGCTAAGTGATAGGGATCACAAACTACTTCAAAAGATGCATGTAAGAAGCAGATAGTAGATATCCAACAAAAAAATGAATTAAAAAAAAAAAAGGTTATTCTCCCCAGAATATAAAAGAATGAGTGAATGTAATCTTCCCAATGATAGGAAAACCAGAATTAATAGTTTGGTCAATTAGTCAATTGCTACCTAAAGGTTCCTATTGCCAACATCTCATGTACCTGTTCCTGAGTATTTCTGTCCAAATATATGTGTCCAGAAATATGTAGAATTAGTCCTGTGTCCAAGCCATTTGACATATGGCACTGTATTCCCAGTCGAATATGCATAGAAGACTTCTTTTTTTTTCTTTTTTTTTTTTCCCTCGTAAAATGCTTCCAAGTCAAAAATTGAAGAGATCTTTCTTCTTTCTTCTGTCAAAGAAAATGTCAATACCGATGACTCAGTAACGAACTCCATGCAGAGCAGACTAAATAGCTGTGTACAAACACCCCTTGGAAAATTAGAGGAACTGCTCTTTTCTTTATACTGTTATTGGGATCTTCGTCCATGACACAGATTATACACCTGAACATATAGCTCCTGAAAGCCAACAACATGATTGATTTAGGTTAGGTGCAAAGAAATCAATAGTGAGAGAGTTTAATCTCAGAGATCTGGTACGCTTGACGACATACCTAGTAAGGGGATCGGATAATTTGAACATTATGGAAAAAATAAGATAAATCTTGTTTATTTTACTGCCAAGTGCGATCCATTAGTATATATCGAAATTGAATTTAAAATTTAACACCTACTTTTTATTATGTATGCCAAAGCTCTTGTTTTCCACAGGCCCAATTACACGATAGGGAGAGGGGTGAAGAGAGACTGAGAGAGAAACCTGATGACCAAGATGAGCAGCAAAACTTCCTTTCATTAATATGCTCGACATTGGCACCAATAAACCAGGAACCAACACTGACATCATCATGGGCATATGCGCGAAGAATAGATCTGCCAACCAAAAGTAAATGCTCAGTTTTCGTTTCCTATTGTTGTGAGTGATAAAACTGCTCCACCACAGTGAAGTATAACTCACCTATTGATTGATACAAATTTAGCCAAAGCCTTCGATATCACTAACATCTCACCTGAAGCATGTCTGAAGTAACTGTTGATGCAAAAATCATATGAGGCAACATAGTCATGAAAAAGAGAACAATGAGACCTATTTCTAAAATTATATCTATCATTTGATGTCAAGAATGTCAATATGCTTAGACTTCGAAAGTACTAAGAAAATTTAGATTTCGAAAGTACTAAGAAAACTTGGACAAAATCATGTCGATAGCAAAGTGTATAACAAGAAGAAACTGAATTTAAACATGAAAACAAAAGAGCCCAGAATGCTAGGCGTAAGAGGAGAAAGAGAAACTAGATTTAACTTGGACAGATAGTACAAATTTGCAGAATAATTTCCTTCAGTTAAGGATTAGCAACAAACAGAAAAATGAAAGTCACAGATACCGGAACTATTTAACTTTCGAAGAATAAACTAAAGATAAGATGCTCATAAATACAAAATTGCTTACGTTTTTCCATCTCCAAATTTCCACCAGTCTGGTTCATACCATTTCTCACCGCTGCCAAGTTAAAGCCATGACAAGTCAATTAATGAAGAAAAGAATGAATAAGATGAAATCAAAATACTATGTATAACCGTTAATTTACAAATCATTTATGACCTAGTAGAAGGTTTTGACCACACTCACCTTTCGGAGAAAACATCACCTGATTTCATACACCCAATATATACACGAGGCTGGTTCAAATGAGCAGCCAGTATATTTCCCAAGGCATCTGCACAGAAGGTATATCAATATTGCATATTCTAGAGAATGCTGCGTTTCGCAATCTTAATAGTCAGACTCAAGATTTAAATGGAAAAGCTGGGTAACCTATTAGAGTAGGTCAATGTTCAATCATATGACTGAAGAAACAAAGGTCATCGATCCAGTATTGGATAAAAGAGGGGAAATGCCCATTTATATAATATGGGATTCTCAATACTTACATACTTTAATAAAAATATTGGTAGTCATCAAGCTAAACTTCGAAAGTATCATACATACCAATGTTTACATAGACGTCATCATTGAATTTTGCATAGTAGTCAGCATCCCAACTTTCTGCGGCATGAGCAAAAAATAATTTTGTCTTGTTCGGTAGTTCCTCAGGTGCCTCTATATGGTTTTCCTGAGATGAAGTTTGAAGCGGGAAAAAGTCAAACAATGCAAACCTTACCCTACATAAATAAAGCCAATTACGTGAATGAACAAGTCCTCATGCATTATAGGGAATGTTGTCACCAAATTTGACTTTTGAATTTGTTGAATGTTCAATTTACTTATTGTTTACTTTACAATCAATAAGATTCTGAGAATTGCATATTTAAATTATTTCTCCCAATTCAAAGGCTGTGTTCAATATGAAGGGAAAAATAAAAACAAATTTGAAAAGATGTATGCATAAAAACGAATGGCTCAGGTCAAGGAGCTTACAAGGATGAAAAAATCATTGGTTTGTTTGTTTTCACTGTCAATGCTCCTGTCCAAGCTGTCTCCTCGATTAGAACTGAAGTTTACCATAATCAGCTCAAAGCATTACGTTACTAATCTCAAACATATGAGCGATAGACATCATAAAAAGCATACCTTCTACCGATGACAAATCGAACAATGATGCCTTTATTGTCCTCCATTTTTGTCAAAGCTGCACCTGCATAGGGGAATTATATGAAAATGATGTGGTTGTTACAACAAGAATATAAACAAGTAAACTTGAAGAAATAAACCGAAACCAATAAACATCTCGAACACCTACAAGAATTACAATCAAGACTGTCTGTACATAAAGAACACATGAATGAAAAAGAGTCAGAACGGATTGATATTACTCTAATTCATTATTTGGAATCCTAATCCAAGAGATGTGGAGCAGTACCAAAGTGTTTCAAACGTAGGTTTATCTTGACGTAGGTCTACCTATGTAAAATGAAGTCTCTATCATTTGGCTCAAAAAAGAAAACATGAAGCTTCATACAACTTAAAGTTCATAAGATGAAAAGAGATTTTTTTAGGTGGTGAAGTGCTATATAAGGCATATCATCAATTATTACGAGGTGTGGCTAAGAGCATGTTTAGAAGGGGAGATTAAAAAGGATATCTATCTTATAAGGTAAAAAGAAGAAGAAGCAAAGTTTGCATATTTGGGAGAAGTTGTCGAGTTCACTTATTTTTAAGCAACATCATGACACCATTTACGAAAAATATGCTTTATGTTGAAATAGGAAGATGTAATGTTGTAATTTAAACAAAATGTAACAGTAAAATGGTAAAAGCCTCACTCAAACCTAGTAATAAGCCAAAAAGTATGTTGGTGGTGCTTATTGCATTTCCTAAAAAATAAGCAGTCTTTAATAATAAGCCTTTGGCCGTTTTTTAATCTTATAAGAAACTTTGACCAGCATAGATGCCCACCGAAACATGTTCTAAATGGTAACAAATGACAAGTACAACTGTAAAGCCAGTTATTGATTCCTTTGAAAATTAGAATAACCAGGCACTTGTTAAGTAAGAGAGATAAACAGACCTTAGAGAGTAAGGCTAACCAAAGGATTGGAATTACACTGTTGTCCACAGGCAATTATTTTTATATTTAAAATTTCACATATTCTGGATCAGCAAGTTGTCCAAAGGTTTATCCTTTTCTATGTCTCCTCTCTTTGGCAACGCCACATGAATATTTAACGTGTTTTAGACAGAAAAGCATTCCAATGATTTTGTCTCTTCCTATCTGATTCCAATTGTTTAAAAATTACTTTCCAACTTGACTATGCAGCCACAACCATGTATAAAGAATATTACCATTCATATTAATTATCAAGTATTAGACTCGTGGCAAAAGTTAGTATAATTGATCCACTAAAATAAAACAATAAGGTTATCTTTCCAGTTTCCAAATGAAGAAATTATTCACATGAACTAATGGGGGTTCGGCCAGGGCCTCCTCCTACCCTTATAAAAATTGGATCTTAGAGATAAGAAGGTACGAGTTATGAACTCTATATCATTGTCACAGCTAAGCAAGAAAAGGATTTTGCATTTCAATTAAGTAATAACTTATATTAAAGTGTTACTTAATTAGCAGACACCTTACTAATCACTGCAACAGTATGCTTGTAATAAATCCAATCGCTAAGCCCCCACCCCACCCCCCCTCCATGCGATGAAACACTTATTTATACAAGTGCTTAGATTTGATTTTAGGATAAAGAGAAATACAAGAAACACTGTTTTAAAAAAGCCTTATATTGTTGTATCATTAAGTTGTCCTGATAATTACAAGTTCGGAGGGAAAAGGACAACGTTCATCTCACTGGACTCTGATTAACCACAGCCTTATGCAAGCAATGGAAGTTTCTGGTTCCATCCATGATTGACTTATGATTAAATATCTCTAAATATAAATGAAGTTAAACTTCCTTCTGCAAAACATTGATTCATCCATGGTTCAAATATAAAGGGGGGTGGGGGGGAGGGGGTGGATACCATATAACTGCAACAAGATTCTCCATATTCTGGTGTGGGGATATCATTACTTAGAGATGCTCCAATTTTGCTTTGACAGTTGTGTTAAATAGGTTTTTCCCTTAAGATCCTCCCAAAGGAACTCCCCAAGTTTTTCATTTAAAATTTCTTGAACCACAAGTAAAAGAGGATCATGTCATATTTGAAATAGCCAATCCAATCTGCCTTATTAAGGAAATAAACATAGATGGGAAAAAAGTAGATGATTTACCAGTTCCCATCCATGCGTTGCGTATAGCCTCTCTTTCATTCTTGCGTCCAAATCCTGTAAGTATTCCTATCACGACAAGTGGATTTTTCTTAGGAGTCTTATTCATCTCTGGTAAATAATTTGAAACAAAACCCTTCTGTCTGGCCGTAGCTAGATCCATCTCCAAGGCTGATAATTTCTTCAGCTGTTCCCTAATAGGAATAGAATTTTTGATAAAAATACATGACAACACAAGATTGTCCAGATAGTGTAGTACTAAGACTGAACAATAACAACAAGAAGTAAATGTCACCTGCATCCTAAGATTTTCCATGAATCGTCAACTGAAATAACAGATTTTCCCTAACACATGAAACAAAAGATCTCAAGTTCAAAATGTGATTGTAATATATACCTGATGATCAATAGAAGTGTGGTGTGGGTATCAGATATTAAAACGTCTACCTACCAATTTCAACCTCATTTCTGGATTTGTTCAGGGAAAAAAAGCAGGTACCATAAACTTGTCATTAGCACGGTGCATGATCCAACATAATTTCATCAACAAATTCTAATTTATGCAGCATATAGCCTAGTAGTTAACTTTGCCATTGATAAACATGTCATGCTTATCTGGAACTTTGCAATCATTGGCAAATGAGTCATCTAAGAAAATACTTCCCACAACCAACTTCTTCAAAAAATCAATCAACTGATGTTGCAGGGGTAGGTTTGCTTAATGTGATGGGATATTTGAACTCTTCCTTCTCTCTCTCTCTCTCTCTCTACTGTCGATGTTTGGTGCTCAGAACTTAAAACAGTAAACAATTCTTCTCATGCCTGATTTGCTAGGTTTAGGTTTGCTGGAATGAATAGCTTTTACTTGTCATATAAATCCAACTCTGCAAATCATCACCATGTTTAAGTAGTTTTGAGTTCTCTTACTCAGACATTAGAAGTGCTAAAGTAGTAAACAAAAACATCTTTACCTGACCCATCATTCTATCAAGTTCCTTTGCTAAGTAAACCCTGCTTTCAGCATCCTGCCATAAACTGCATACACAAAAAACACATTGAAGACATTTATTACCTTTCTTATATTATTTGTTTCTTTAACAAAACTTTCTTATTTTGTTTTCCTTTGCCAATAGATTCTTAAAAAAAAAAAAAAAAAAAAAAAAAAAAAAAAAAAAAAAAAATTTATGACTGTAGGTGTCTGGGCTAACTTATGCGCACCTCGACTAATTCCACCGGACCCTGAAGTTTACAGATAGGTACTCACCTCAGTAGTCTTGAGGGGACTTATCGAACTGATGACCATTGGAGAGCAAACCTAAGGCCTCACTACTGAGCAATTCTATAGAAAATTTCACATGCTCAAGAAAATAAATTTAGTGAGGGCTTCTCAATCTTGATTTACTGAACATCAAAAATAGCACGAAGCAGGTCAATTTTGTAGATATCCATTAAGGTAGTTGAGTTATGAATCTTCGGAGACACGAAGGTTTGAGAATGGCGGAAGGACTATGGTTCAGTGTTTCCTTTGATGTTGTATTGCTTTTACATAAATACTTTTTAATGAAAAAAAATGTTGATAGTTTATGAGGGAAAAAGAATTTCTGATGATTCGTTAAGATCGCGTTCATACTATATTTAATTAAGATTTAATGGGTTCAGAGATCTACATTATCCTTTCTTGATCCTCTTCTCTATTTCCACCTGTTTACATCTCTCTGTCTACCAATGGAAGTCAAGAAAATAAACATTCTTATTTTTTCTTAATTTCTTATAACTTTACATAAGTTATTTTGTACTGCAAAATAATTGAAGATAGCTAAATGCACAAGATTTTATTTTATTTTTTTTATTTTTTATTTTTTTAAGAACAGCTAAGTTCAATTTTCCATAAATGTAACAGTAAGACCTAAACTCTTAACAAAACCTTTCGTTTTCACTTGTGTCCATAGTTCTCCACTCTCATTGTTCAAATGGCAAAACCTCCATTCTCCACTCGAAAAATATCAAGCTTACAAATATATGGAAAAATGAATTAAATGACACCACAGTCAAACTCCATAATTATAATAATGAACTGTTTCTACATCCTTTTTTTTAATGATCATGGATGTCCGAGTCATCTTAGTAGCCGGACTCAAACCAGTGACCATTGAAGAACAAACCCAATGGCCTTACGGTTCGAACTGTTTCTACATCTATAATTACATCCATTCATGTTCACAGGAAGAATACCAGTTAACAAATTAAAACCAAGTCAAATGAAATTGCCTGATACTTTCATGTTTGGATCATAGATTATAAATAAATAAATAAAATTTCAGTAACACAGAAACGTAAAATTGCAGATACGTAAACAAAACCTACCGGCCTGCAACAAATAATGAAGCAAAGATGGCGAACATGGAAATCACGAGAATAGGAATTCGAGATTGAAAAGCCATTCCCACGATTCGCACGCTCGATCTCCGGCACTGCATTTTCTTTTCTTTTTCTAAACTTCAAATCAATTCAATTTTTGTATCGGCGGATCTGAAAAAATAATCAGATAAAAAAAATTGTACAGTGATCAGCTTCAGGATTTCAGATCATCTGACTGAATCAATGATATCAATTTTGGATTCAATTTAGAAAACAAATAGTTAAATTGCAGAGTGAGAAGCGGAGACATTTCGGTTACGGGTGGCGCTCAAATACATAGAATTAGTGTTAATCTAAAAATGTTATTGGAGAAAAACGATAAGTTCATAGGATAGGAATGTCAATAAAGCAGCTATGGGATGATGGGTCGATCATTTTCGTTACTAATCGTGTTGAGCATTTTTATTAGCTTTGAAAGTTCAAGAATAACTAATTGGTGAATTGGTTTTTGAAAAGTTTTCGAAGATTAATTCAAATTTAAATAAGTTGAAAATGAATAAGTCAATCGAACAAAAATGTACAAGTAGGAAAGCAACAAGTAAAAGGAAAAAGAGTGTTCAAATGATGTAATTGTAGAAGTTTAATCTCAATCAATGATTTACTGCCTTTGTTACCAAGCTCTCCGAGTAATGTTTTTTTATTATATTTGGTTGACTTATAATGAAATCCAAACCATAACAATACTTCTTGTGACGTAAAAACAATAAATATCAATCCTTATACAATATTGAGTATTTCGGAACCTTATTGTGACCCACAAATTTAAAAAGAAATGATTTTACAATTTGAAACTTCTCTATTAAAAAATGATATATCAAAGTTAAATATAAAATAAAGAAGTATGCTAACACTTCAACAAATAGCAATGAATAAAGCTCGAGTATTAGGTAAGAAAAATTTTGACGAGAAAAATGATTTTCAAAGGTTGATTCAATCAAATTTTTTTTAAAGTAAATGAATTGATAAAGATAAATAAGATATATAATCAATCTAATTTATCTCAAGAACATATCACTTAAATGCTCTCAAAAGTATTATAATGAATGCAATGTGAAATGACATTTATAGCGGTCAAAGTGCCAAAATGTCTTACTAACAGGACACTCGTCTGGCATGGTGAATTGGGCAATCAACTAATCCTTGTGTGTCAAAATTCAGAACGGTAAAAAACTAACCATTGGTTCAACCGGACGTCCATTTGGACAAATTTTCCTAAATTTTTCTTTTTTGAATGTTTTGAAAAATGTAGGTTTTTGAAGGACATTTTTCATTTTATCTTTCAAGGTGAGAGATTGTAAAATATTTCAATGTCAAGTTGAAAAAATAATAATTATTGAGCTTTTATTGATTCATCGCTAAAGGTTAAAGCATTTTACCTTTTCATATGAATTCAAAACATCTAAGTCTAATATTTCAATATTTGACTATTGAAGTTCTTGTCTTCGAGTGATTTGATGTGAAGGCTCGACTTCCATTTCGATTTTTATTGATCTTCAATTGCGAGTCTTTTAGTAGCAATCTTTTTGTCTCCATTTGATCAATTTTGCAATGACAGCTATGAAGACTCGAATTCGATCTTTAGTGATAAAATAATTTGTTTGTTATAATCAAAACATGAAGTCAACCATAGGTCAACAATTTTTCTCCTTTTTTATTATGACAAACAAAGATGATTTACAACACATTGATAAGGAAAAGGGAACTTTGGATATCACATGTGATTCATATATTCCCCCTATCTTTTATACATATATTTCCCCTTTCTTATACACATCAAGCATATTACATTTAAACATATATGCATATCATCTTATCTATTAAGTATATATGCATATTATCTTATATATTTTTCCCCTTTTGGATGAGCTCATTGGAGTGTTTATTGGCTTCAAGTCTTCCATTTCAAACATCTTAAACATATATGAAATATACTTATTTTGACTAATGAATATTGTATTATTAGTCAGTCTAATTTGGAGTCCAAGAAAGAATTTTAGTACTCCCATAATGCTCATTTCGAACTTCTTGTTCATGCATTTGGAAAATTCTTCACAAAAAGAAATATTAGTTGCACCAAAAATAATATCATTAACATAAATTTGAACGATAATCATATCATTCTTTTTGCTTTTGATAAAAAGGGTAGTACTCGCTTTCCCTATTGAAAAATCGTTTTGAAATAGAAATTTGCCTAATCTTTCATACCAAGCTCTAGGAGCTTGCTTTAAACTGTAAAGAGCATTTCTAAATTCAAAAACATAGTTAAGATATTTGTGATCTTTAGAATCAGGGGTTTGCTTTACCAAAACTTCATCTTGATTAAATCCATTTAGAAATGCATCATTAACATTCATTTGATAAAGAGTGAATCATTTATGATATGCAAATGTAAGAAACATATGAACAGATTCTAATCTAGCGACTGGTGCAAAAGTTTCTTCATAATCAATGCCTTCTTTTTTATTGTAACCTTGGACTACTAATCTCGCCTTTTATGCACAATTATCCCATTTTGACATCTTTTATTTCTAAAAACCCATTTTGTACTCATGATGGTTTGATTATTGGGTCTAACGACTAAATCTCAAACATGATTTCTTTCAAATTGTTTTAGTTCTTCTTACATAGCTAGTATACAATATTCATCAAATTTGGCTTCTTTAAAATTCTTTGGTTCAATTTGAGAAATGAAAGCACAATTATTAAGATGATTTCTAGTAGAAGCTTTAGTGATAATACCTTTGGGTAGATCACCAATAATCAGTTCTTTTGGGTGAGAAGGAAGGAGCATCGATTCTTTTGATAGAGAATGATCATTTTGTATTTCGATAGGTTCAATTTCACTTTGTTGAACATTTGCTTCTTCCTTGTGTTCATCTCTTAGATCTTCCTTGGTTTGGTCATGAATATTCATTTGTTCAAATGAAATTTCCAATCCTACATCATTAGTAATACATTTCTCACGGTTGAGAGCATTAGTTTCATCAAAGGTGACATGCATAGATTTTTCAACGATTAGAGTTCTTTTGTTAAATACTCTATAAGCTTTGCTAGTAGATGAATATCCTAAAAAGATTTCAATATCGAATTTTGAATCAATTTTTTTTTTCAAATTTTCTTTTGTGTTTAAAATAAAGCATTTGCAACCAAATACTTCGAAATAACTCATAGGGGTTTTAGTTTTCTTTCGACTAACTAAAACTCTATTAACAATATAGCAAGCATTTTTAATGGTTTTGACTCAAAAGTATTTTGGCATGCTATTTTCATTAAGAATGTTCCTAGCCATTTCTTGCAATGTGCAATTCTTCATTTCTACTACATCATTTTGTTGAGGTGTTTTAGGAGCCGAGAAATTTTGTTCATATCAATTTTCATTACAAAAATTATCAAAAGCAATATTATCAAATTCTCCACTATGATGACTTATAATAGTTGTAATAGAGGATCATTTTCGTTTTGAACTATTTTTACAAAAAAATGTTTAAATACATCCAAAGCTTCATCTTTTAGATTTAAGAATATGACCCAAGTAAATTTAGAAAATTCGTCAATAATGGCAAATGCATAATATTTACCACTCAAGTTGGCGGTTCTAGAGGGTTCAAAAAGGTCTATATGGAGCAATTGTAGTGGTTTTATAGTTTAAGAGTATAATTTAAACTCAAAAGCTTTTCACTCGTTTCCT